ATCTATATTATAATAAACAATTTATTTCAAATAATTTAAGAAATAATAATTAGAATTAGAAGAGATAATAATAAGAGTACAAGTAGTATTAACGTTTTATTTCTAAAACAGAGAATAAAATATATGAGCCATTTAAAACAAAAGTGGTATAAGTCAATAAAGGCGATATCTAGATATTGAGAATTAAAGTAAAAGTTCTATAAAATTCAGGAATATGAATGAATGTTAAATTTCTTTTATGTAAGCCTCTGTATAGTTATACCTTAAGCTAATAATGCTATTTTGCCTCGAAAGTCAAGTGTATATATAATTATTTTATTCATATTAATTAAAATTTTTCTGACTTACACCATTTTCGTGCAAACCGGGAAGATAATTATTATTAGATGTAATAAAAAAGGGATCTGTTTGTTGGGGTAGATATTATATTTCTACTGCTATATTAATTACCAAACAAATTATTTAAAAAAAAATGAATAAAATGTATAAAATGTGGTTTACATTGTCATGAATTTAAATCGAAAAATAATAATGAGCATGACACAGAAACTTTGTGGATAGCGATAACGTTAAGCTCTTATTCATCGTTCACTTCTTCGAAATCCAGAAGTCCAATGAGAAACTAATGAAGATATCCTTACACCACTTTTGTATAAAACAGAAGGAAGGTTAATCGAGATGTGGTGTTAACTCAAAAAGGCAAAAAATTGACTTACACGACTTTTTCTTTAAACGGCTCATATATACATATATGTATTCGAAAAAAAATATTTTACAAAGTAATATTTTCTTAATTCATTTTTAATTTTTCGTTTTCTCATTTTTTCATAAAAATCTAACTATTATTTATTGAAAAATTTGGTTACAGTACAAATACATTCGATTCAAATTTTAACACGTGTTGCACCGTGTTTAGTACCTCTTATGTTCATTTTACATCGACACATTTTTAACTAGAGTTTCCAATCATTCTATATATAGTTTCAGATAAGCATGAAAGAGCGCGAAAGCACGGTACAGAAACGGAAAGTTTTTAGCAGTTTCGGATTATCTAACGTCGTTATGAGATTGGATTAGTCCTTTTTGTAATATATTTTATTGTTATTTATAGCTCTTACATGAAGATGTATAAATTTGAAATGGTAATAAAAATATAACGGCGCATGCTTTAAAATATTTGAAAAACTGACAGAAACAGGCAAAGGTAGAAGTACTTTTACGTTTACAATATTGTACGATTTACTCTTTGTACTTATTCAGGTTAGTTTTTCTTTCTCTTATGCATTACTTAGTTTATTTTATTGATCCGTATTAATAACAATTCGTTACAATGATAAATCAGTCATTTAAATTGTAATATGATCAGTTTGAAAAGAACACATTTTTTTATGATTTAAATGATGTATTTTGATATTGAGATTAAATCCGATCATATTTATTGTAGAATACTTATTGAAAGCTGATAGATATGTCTATGGATAATGTACAAGGGGAGTCACTATACACTCCACGTAGAGTTCAGAAATGTTTGTTTGGCTCAGGTGGAAGTTCAAGAAAAAAGAAAGTTTATAAAACTCGAAAAGCAGATACTTTATCTGGAGACGAATCAGATTTAGGACCTATGTCACCATTAGAACTTAGTGATCAAAGTCCTAGTAGTTGTAGTAGCTCTCCAAATGTTTCACTTCTTTCTCCAAATATAACACCTCAAAAATTATTTATATCATTTGATATGCATGCATCTTGGGATCAGGTACCACAAAGTGTATGCAAAAAACCGTTAGGTGATCATACACGCATGTCTCTAAAGAAAGCAATACAAGCTGTGAAGCATTCTGCACAAAAAGAAATATTACCAGATTCACCAACATCATTATCAAATTCACCATTGAACAGTTCTAATAAGCAAACACAAAATCAGACAGAAATTAAAGATGAAACAGTGCAAGAAACATCACCAAGACAATTTGGTAAAGAGTTGCAAAACAATATCATAGAAACTCCACGCAAATCTGAAAGTCCAGAAGATAAATTAATAACTCCATTAACTTCAGAGAACAAAATGATTTTGTTGCCAAGATTACATAGACGTAAATCAATTAATTTACTTGATATGATTGAAAATTCACCTGAGAGAAAAAAGAATACGTTAAAGAGGCATAGAGTTGAAGAATTAGAAAATACAGCTACTAAATTATTAAAGATTGATGAAAATCATTCAGTGCCAAAAGTTAGGGCAGCTTTATTCCAAGAAAAAGATTATGAATTAAAGCTGAAAACTATAACATTAAGTGCTAAAACATTTTATAGTGTTTCTGAAACAAAAAAGGATTGTAAGCTTATTTCAAAATTGGTGGCACAAAAATATCAAAGGAAATCTTTCACAGGGCATACATCCCAGCATAGAAGATCTCTGAAAAGACATACAACGGAAGGAATCAATGCTGGTGTATCACATAATATTAAAAAACCGAAATCAAAGTCTAATTTAAATACTACAAATAACGATAATACACAGAATACTATGAATGTAGAGGAAGATTTATTAAAAAATGAAGACGTAGAAAGAGAGGTACCAGAGATATCAATAGAAAGAACTCCATCACCAGACATTGATCCTAATAAGCGTTTTTTCAAAATCAAAAGGTCATCTAAAAGAAATTCTTCAGCTGTAGTAACAATAAATAAAAATGTTAAATTAAAAGTTGCAGCAGATGGTAAAATAGTATTGAATGAAAGGAATTATCAAAGTATAAGGCAACCACATAAAAAACCAAAACTTGCAGATATTTCTTTTGATGCAACTGATTTATTAGTAGATGAGCCAGAATTGGAAGCTACAATAGAGCAGAATAAAGTAGCCAATATATTAAAAATGTTAGAAGATGATTGGGCTGATGATGATTATGATACTATGAAAATACTACATAATGCAAAATTTGGACATATTTCACCATTAAAGCCAGTAGCAATATTGAATGATGTTACTATGTCACCAGCAAGTGAACTTAGTAATATGACATCAACTATGAATATTAAAGATATTAGTACACCAATGGTTGAAAATAGTTCTTTGAATAATAATAAAAACAGTGTTAATGAAAATATATCAGAAGAAAAATATTATCCATTATTCACTAAAGGATATTCTGCTAATAAAATGTTGAAGCAAGTAAATCATTTAATGTATCAAAATTTTCTAAATTATTTTTTCTAATCTGATACTGTATGATGTTTCAGTGAAAGCAATAAAAAATCAACGAAAGAAAACATAAATTGGCAATTATCTGCAAAACTAAATGGCAATGACAAACAGTATCTCTTAGATGCAGGGCAAAAAAATTTTGGAGCAACACAATGTACAGAGTGCGGTGTTGTATATCAAGTAGGAGATCCAGAAGATGAAAATGCTCACCTAAATTATCACAATAATAGGGGAAGCTTAAAGTTCCCTGTATGTGGAAATAATATCCGGTTAACTCGTATAAATAATGTACTGAATATTTTATGACTAAAAACCTCGATTACAGGGTTGGAAAACAGAACGTGTAATTATGGAAGACTCTTTTACATCAAGTCGAGTAATTTTGGTAGAACCAAGTAACCCAAAACTATGTTGGAAGAAAGTAACGCAGATTTTAGCATATGTAGACAGAGATTTGGGATTAGTTGATACGAAATTATCAGATTACGAGCAGAAAAAGGTATAGTTAATATTTTTTTGTTTTATAAGGATTATTTTGTTGTAATATGATTTACTTTTTAGGTGTACTTATACATAAAGGAAAAAGCTATTATAGGAGTGTTAGTTGCGGAACATATAATGTCTGCGCATCGTATGATTCCGGAATTATTAGAATTAGACTGCTGTACAGCAGAAAGTAGTCCTGCTAAGTGTGGCATAAATGTTGTATGGACTGACTTAAACCATCGTAGACAAGGCATAGCTACTAAATTGGTTGATATATTAAGGTGAATATTTATATTTTCATGGACATTTTATGGACAATTCATTCACTTTTCAACGAATTAATTTTTTTTTATAGGGCTCAATTTTATTTCGGTTACGTAATGTCCTTAGATGATATAGCGTTCTCAATTCCAACACCAAGTGGAAAAATATTTGCCGAGAAATATACCAAAACACGAAATTTCAAAGTATACAATTAAAGTCTGATATCAACGTTACATATTATTTTTGATAAACTATTTTATCAAAATTTATAGTAATAGTACTATTCATTTGTTACTACAATTCTGTACAAATAATATTACACACCAACACATTTTATGTTTACAGA